CGATGACCATTCTAATACGTCTTGCAATCGACCTCCCTCTTGCCTTAATTGTCATGAGGCTCACCCTTCATACTCTTGCCGTTGCCAAGTCTACTTAAATGAGCAGGAAATCCGTTACCTCAAAGAGGCAGAAGGTCTCCCTTATGCCATGGCAGTTTCTCATCTCCGCCTCCGAGGGAGACTACCTCATGTTTCTTATTCCCGTATTTCAAAACGTCCCCCCACTTCTGGGGTCCCATCTTCTGCAGCCTCCTCTGTGGTTACCTCTCCCATAGTCACTCCTGTATCTAATTCTTTTGCTCTCCTAGGCTCAGACGTCCCTACTTCAATGCCTCAGTCCGTTCACACTTCTTCGTGTTCTCCCTCACAAGCCTAAGTATCGACGAGACTTCGTACGACACCTCCTCCCAATCGTCCCTCTACTTCTCAGAAGTCAAAAAAAGGTCCTTTAACCCCTCCTTCCCTAATTCCACCTCCTCATTTTACCTTCCCTGTCTCTGTACTGGGTTCTTCCCCTCTCACTGGCTCTGTTACAAGTGTAGAGGTTCACCCTCCTCCTCGTACTATACCTACCTCCCCTGTTCCCTCCCAGGTTTCTTCCTCTTCTACCACCTCCCAGGATTCTGCCTCTGCCCCCTTCCACGCTTCTCCAGTTCCCTCCACCCTTTTGCCCTCCCCCCGTACTTTGGTACAGTCCATTGCCTTTCCAATCTTTATTCATCCTCCCCCTATCATCTCCAATATTGTCTCCCATACGACGTCTCTGAATTCTGAAACACTTGAAGCAATCTCTGAATATATTGCAGAGACCAAACCATCAGTGGACACTGATCCACCCTCTGTTCCTTCTCTCTCCTCTCCTCCATCTGCGCAACTCCTTTCTTCACAGTGCACCGTTCCTTCGCTGCTTGAACGTTTTCCGCTGCCTCCGCATGCGGACTTTTCTAACCCCTCTAGTCCGTAGGAACCCTTACCTGCGGATTTCAAGTATATCTTTATCATTGCCAATCATGGCCTATTTACAGTGGAATATACGCAGCCTCAGGGGTAATCGGGGTGAGCTTCAGATGTTACTCTCCCAGTTTTCCCCTGTTGGTGTTTGCTTACAGGAACCAAAATTACACTCTGCTGTTATCTCTCCCATCTCAGGCTATAATTTATTGTATTCGTCAGATCCTTTTCCTGATGGGACCTTTAATGAAAGTGCCCTTCTTCTACGCAATGATATTCCGTACCATCAGCTATTTGTTCGTACTTCGCTGCATTACACAGCAGCCCGTATCCACTTGCATAGGTGGTATACGCTCAGTTCTTTATATCTCTCTCCTTCTCGAGCATTATCTATTCCGGATATTGCCTTTCTTGTTTCGTCATTACCGCCACCGATTCTGTTACTAGGCGATTTTAATGCCCATCATTTCCTCTGGGGGGGGTCTTACTGTGATTCTCGTGGCATTATCAGTTAGAGGCTTTTCTTGCCACCCACCCCCTCCATGTTTTAAATACAGGTACTCGCACCCATTTTGATCCTCGGACTCTCTCTCTCTTGCATCGATCTCTCAGTCTGCTCTTCCTCTGCCGCATTAGACTCCACTTGGTCTGTTCTCCCGGACTTACATGACAGCGATCATTTCCCAATCATTCTTACTTCCCCTTCATATTCACCACCTCTTCGCATCCCACGCTGGCAATTTGATCAGGCAAATTGGAACCTTTGCTCACACCTAACTGTTTTTAGAGAGGTTCCTTCTTCGTCCTCCATTGATGAGCTTTTACACCTCTTCTCGTCCTCCGTTTTAACCGCCGGTTCTAATTGTATACCCCAAACTTCGGGCAGGCATTCTCAGAAATGCGTGCCTTGGTGGTCTCCTGCTTGTACTCGTGCAGTACGTTTGAAACGCGCTGCATGGGGCAGGTACCAGTACAATAGAACCACGGAGAGACTTCATGATTTTAAGCAGAAGCTTGCGATCGCTCGCCGTGTCATCCGTGACGGTAAACGCACTTACTGGCGAGATTATGTCTCCACCATCACCTCTGCTTCTTCTATGAGTGCAGTCTGGAAAAAAGTACGAAAACTGAGTGGTAAATATTCTCCTGACCCGGCTCCTGTTCTGCAGGTTGCCAGTGTTGATATAGCAAACCCACTAGATGTTGCCAATGAAATTGGCAATCATCTGGTCCGTATTTCTCAGGGACTCCATCTATGCCCCTCGTTTCTTTCCTCAAAGTCTGCCAGAGAGTTAGCACCCTTGGACTTTTCTTCTCTCAGAGAAGAACAATATAATGTGCCTTTTACACTTCAAGAACTAGAGGCAACACTCTCAGCTTGCCGATCATCGGCAGCTGGGCCCGACGACATTCACATTCGTATGCTACAACATTTACATCAGTCAGCCCTTGCAGTCCTATTACGCCTTTACAATCTTATTTGGTCACAAGGAGTTCTTCCACAGCTGTGGAAATCTGCCATTGTTCTCCCTTTCCGCAAACCAGGCACTACGGGACATGAAGCCTCCCACTATCGTCCCATTGCTCTTACCAGTGCAGTTTGCAAAGTGATGGAACGCCTGGTAAATAGACATTTAGTGTGGTATTTAGACACACACAACAGTCTCTCTACTCGTCAATATGGCTTTCACAAGGGACGTTCTACCATAGACCCCTTATTACGCTTGGATACGTATGTTCGTAGTGCCTTTGCGAATAACTGGGCTGGAGTTTTGAGACTCTCTGACCGCGGGTTCAATCCCGGCCGGGGTATGGTTTAACCACTCAGTTATTGCCATATTTTTTGACCTTGAGAAGGCATATGACACAACTTGAAGGTATAATATTTTAGCCCAAGCCCACTCCTTAGGCCTTCGAGGCAATCTACCATCCTTCCTTACCAACTTTTTAACTGACAGGCATTTCCGTGTTTGGGTTAATAATGTGCTCTCCCCAGACTTTATCCAAGCTGAAGGTGTCCCCCAGGGATGTGTTCTGAGCACAACACTTTTTCTCCTTGCTATTAATAATTTGGCCTCTAGTCTTCCATCACATATTTGGTCATCACTCTATGTTGATGACTTCGCTATTGCCTGTGCAGTAGCTGACTGTCACCTCATTACAGTTTCTCTCTGGCATGCGGTCGACTGTGTTTCCAATTGGGCCACCGCACATGGGTTTAAATTTTCCAGCACCAAAACCCACCAAATTACTTTCACTAGACGCTCTGTCATCTCCGATCATCCTTTGTACCTCTATGGCTCCCGTATACCTGAACGTGATACAGTCAAGCTTCTGGGCCTCCTCTTTGACTGTAGGTTATCCTGGAATCCTCACATTACCTCTCTGAAGGCAACTTGTCACAGCCGGCTGAACCTTCTTAAAACCCTTGCTCATCTTTCATGGGGAGCTGATCGTCGAACCCTCCTTCGCCTACATTCCACCCTCATTTTATCGAAACTTGATTATGGTGACCAGATCTATTCAGTGGCATCTCCTGCTACTCTCTGTAGCCTTAACCCCATTCATCACCAAGGATTACGTTTATGCCTTGGTGCTTTTCACTCTTTCCCTGTCGAGAGCCTCTATGCAGAAGCGAACGTTCCATCCTTATCCGATCGCCGTGATGCCCATTGCCTTTGCTACTATGCACTCTCTCATGATCTCCGCAATCCTTCCATTTATAGAATGGTCACTGATATTAGTAGACATTCTTTATTTGTTCGCCGCCCCTGTTTACTCCGTCCCTTCTCTCTTCGCCTTCATTCTCTCTTGTCTTCTCTTCAATTACCACCTTTCTATGTTCATGTAGCATCTCACTTTTCCCTACCCCCCTGGGAAGTTCTAGCTGTTCGAGTCTGTGCTTTCTCTCTCCCTTGCTCGAAAGCCCAACTGTCTACGGTCGCTTCCCGCTCTCTTTTTCTTGACCGCTTCCACTCTCATTCTCATGCCATTGCTGTGTACACAGATGGCTCTAAGTCTTCTGACGGCCTAGGATTCGCAGCAATGTTTGCGGACAGCGTCGTACGAGGGCATTTACTATCTTCGGCTAGTATTTTTACTGCTGAAATGTATGCCATCCTTGCAGCACTTATCCGTATTGCATCTATGCCTGTGTCATCATTTGTGGTTGTCTCAGACTCCCTTAGTGCTTTACAGGCTATACAGAAATTTGATACACCTCACCCCCTAGTCCTCTGTATCCAACTTTGGCTACGCCGCATCTTTACCAAGCATAAAGATATTGTTTTTTGTTGGGTCCCTGGTCATGTTGACGTACAGGGCAATGAACAGGCAGACACTGCTGCGCGGTCAGCAGTACATGACCTACCAGTTTCATGTAGAGGTATTCCATTTATGGACTATTTTGCTGCAATATCTTCCCACCTTCACACCCGTTGGCAACAACGTTGGTCTACTATGCTCGGCAACAAACTTCAATCTATTAAACCGAGTATAGGTTACTGGCCGTCTTCTTATCACCAGTGTCGATGTTGGGAAACTACTCTCTCCTGTCTTTGCATTGGCCATACTCGTCTTACTCATGGAGAGGCGCCCTGCTCCTCTCTGTGAGAATTGCCAAGCTCCATTATCAGTCAGCCACATTCTGTTGGACTGCCCACTTTATCAACGAGCACGCAGAATTTATCTCCGTCGTCGTCTTCGCTCCGCTGCTCTCTCTTTACCTTCTCTTCTCGCTGATGGACCCACCTTTCATCCGGACTCTCTCATTGACTTTTTGACAACAACTGACTTACTTCACAAATTCTGATGCCTTCAGCACTTTCTACTTCAATCTCTTGCTTCCCTCTACCCCCGTACTATCCCCTGCCCCGCTGTTTTCTGTAACCTACTGATCATCCCTCCTCCCTTCTGCCATCCAATACCCTCACTTCCTTCCCTACCCTGCAGCGCTGTATAGCCCTTGTGACTTAGCGCTTCTTTTTGATTATAATAATAATAATATGAAAAACAAAACAGTTATTGAAAAAGGATATATAAAAGGTTCTTTTATTAATAGACTATTATAATAATATAAAGTAAAACATGAACTTCTTATGTCTTTTTAATTATTGTTACAAATAGGATTACAAGTATTAATGATAAAGGCTAAACAAAGGATAGTATGACCCTTAAGGGTTTAAAGCTTGGTTATGATTAAATAAACAGGATAAGATCTTGAAGACTAGAGGTGTTGAGGGTGTAATAGTAATGATCAGAGCTACTGGGTAGTGCTGGTGAGGGGCTCTTGATTTAGGGAATTGGATCTGTGCTCCAGTTCCCTGAATTAAGCCTGAATGCCTTCCACATCCCCCCCCCCCAGGCGCTGTATAATCTTCCGGGTTTAGCGCTTCCCCCTTGATTATAATAATAATAATACTGGGTAGTGCACTGATGGAGTGTACTAAGCTTCAGAAGGGGTCCAGCATACTGTATGTACAGCTAGTGGGTGGCAACTGATGTTGCAGTATTGACTTTAGTGAGAGAGTATGTTTTGAACTATCAGTTTTTAATAGGCATCATAGTCAAGTAACAAGAGTACAATAAAGACTGGCACTTGACTACACTGTCAGATGTGGATATACAGGCAGTTGACTTCTAGAGATTTGAAGGTGGCTGTTGCCTTGTACTGACACTTGTAGTTAACAGCTCCATTGTTTCATGATTCATAACTAGGCAAGTTCTATGGTCTGGAAAAAAAAATATATATTAGGAAGTTTGTATGTGATATAGAAAAATACCAATACTGAATTAACCATTAATTTTTTTCAGGTATCATTCACACCCATTCTCCCCACCTCTTCCCTCACTGCGTGATATAGATTCACAGTTGGAGTACGAGTTGAAAATGAAAGGCTCGAATGATGCAAGCTACACTCCATGTATTGGAATCATAATTTGTAAGTTACATTTTTATATTTCCATATCATTACAGTTACTGTATTAGGTCTGATATTTTACTTATTATACAGGAAAATTTGTCAAACATGTTTAAAAAAAAATGTCATTTTGTATAGCACCTTATGTACGAGGTGGAGGCCAGGGGACAACCACGAGTGGATTTTGGGTAATGCCGCCACCAGAACATAAGCCTCAGGAATACGGACGACCCATGAGCATCCAGTTTACCATAGTACAGGATGCTTTCATACCAAAGGATGCACTCTGTCATGTGGTGAGTTAGTTATTTGTATTACTGCAATTCTCTCCTCTGTTATGAAAAGACATTAGCTACATATCATTTTGTAAACTGCACATATCTTAAAATATATAAGCAGATGATGACAGATCAGTAGACAGTAAACCCTCTCATATTATTATTATTATTATAATCAAAAAGAAGCGCTAAGCCACAAGGGCTATACAGCGCTGCAGGGTAGGGAAGGAAGCGAGGGTATTGGATGGCAGAAGGGAGGAGGGATGATCAGTAGGTTACAGAAAACAGCGGGGCAGGGGATAGTATGGGGGTAGAGGGTAGCAAGAGATTGAAGTAGAAAGTGCTGAAGGCATCAGAATTTGTGAAGTAAGTCAGTTGTTGTCAAAAAGTCAATGAGAGAGTCCGGATGAAAGGTGGGTCCATCAGCGAGAAGGGAAGGTAAAGAGAGAGCAGCGGAGCGAAGACGACGACGGAGGTAAATTCTGTGTGCTCGTTGATATAGTGGGCAGTCCAACAGAATGTGGCTGACTGATAATGGAGCTTGGCAATTCTCACAGAGAGGAGCAGGGCGCCTCTCCATGAGTAAGACGAGAATGGCCAATGCAAAGACGGGAGAGAGTAGTCTCCCAACCTCGACACTGGTGATAAGACGGCCAGTAACCTATACTCGGTTTAATAGATTGAAGTTTGTTGCCGAGCAGAGTAGACCAATGGGTGTGAAGGTGGGAAGATATTGCAGCAAAATAGTCCGTAAATGGAATATCTCTACATGAAACTGGTAAGTCATGTACTGCTGACCGCGCAGCAGTGTCTGCCTGTTCATTGCCCTGTACGTCAACATGACCAGGGACCCAACAAAAAACAATATCTTTATGCTTGGTAAAGATGCGGCGTAGCCAAAGTTGGATATGGAGGACTAAGGGGTGAGGTGTATCAAATTTCTGTATAGCCTGTAAAGCACTAAGGGAGTCTGAGACAACCACAAATGATGACACAGGCATAGATGCAATACGGATAAGTGCTGTAAGGATGGCATACAATTCAGCAGTAAAAATACTAGCCGAAGATAGTAAATGCCCTTGTACGGCGCTGTCTGGAAACACTGCTGCGAATCCTACGCCGTCAGAAGACTTAGAGCCATCTGTGTACACAGCAATGGCATGAGAATGAGAGTGAAAGTGGTCAAGAAAATGAGAGCGGGAAGCGACCGTCGACAGTTGGGCTTTCGAGCAAGGGAGAGAGAAAGAACAGACTCGAACAGCTGGAACTTCCCAGGGGGGTAGGGAAAAGTGAGATGCTACATGAACATAGAAAGGTGGTAATTGAAGAGAAGACAAGAGCGAATGAAGGCGAAGAGAGAAGGGACAGAGAACAAATAAAGAATGTCTACTAATATCAGTGACCATTCTATGAATGGAAGGATTGCAGAGATCATGAGAGTGTACATAGTAGCGAAGGCAATGGGCATCACGGCGATTGGATAAGGATGGAACGTTCGCTTCTGCATAGAGGCTCTCGACAGGGGAAGAGCAAAAAGCACCAAGGCATAAACGTAATCCTTGGTGATGAATGGGGTTAAGGCTAGAGAGACTAGCAGGAGATGCCGCTGAATAGATCTGGTCACCATAATCAAGTTTCGATAAAGTGAGGGTGGAATGTAGGCGAAGGAGGGTTCGACGATCAGCTCCCCATGAAAGATGAACACGGATTTTAAGAAGGTTCAGCCGGCTGTGACAAGTTGCCTTCAGAGAGGTAATGTGAGGTTTCAAGGATAACCTACAGTCAAAGAGGAGGCCCAGAAACTTGACTGTATCACGTTCAGGGATACGGGAGCCATAGAGGTACAAAGGATGATCGGAGATGACAGAGTGTCTAGTGAAAGTAATTTGGTGGGTTTTAGTGCTGGAAAATTTAAACCCATGTGTGGTGGCCCAATTGGAAACACGATCGACTTCATGCTGGAGAGAAACTGTAATGAGGTGACAGTCAGCGCCTGCACAGGCAATAGCGAAGTCATCAACATAGAGTGATGACCAAATGTTTGATGGAAGACTAGAGGCCAAATCATTAATAGCAAGGAGAAAAAGTGTTGTGCTCAAAACACATCCCTGGGGGACACCTTCAGCTTGGATCAAGTCCGGGGAGAGCACATTATTAATCCAAACACGGAAATGCCTGTCAGTTAAAAAGTTGTTAAGGAAGGATGGTAGATTGCCTCGAAGGCCTAAGGAGTGGGCTTGGGCTAAAATATTATACCTCCAAGTTGTGTCATATGCCTTCTCAAGGTCAAAAAATATGGTAATAACTGAGTGGTTATTCGCAAAGGCATTACGAACATACGTATCCAAGCGTAGTAAGGGGTCTATGGTAGAACGTCCCTTACGAAAGTCATATTGACGAGTGGAGAGACTGTTGTGTCTCTAAATACCACACTAAACGTCTATTTACTAGGCGTTCCATCACTTTGCAAACTGCACTGGTAAGAGCAGTGGGACGATAGTGGGAGGCTTCATGTCCCGTAGTGCCTGGTTTGCGGAAAGGGAGAACAATGGTGGATTTCCACAGCTGTGGAAGAACTCCTTGTGACCAAATAAGATTGTAAAGGCATAATAGGACTGCAAGGGCTGACTGATGTAAATGTTGTAGCATACGAATATGAATGTCATTGGGCCCAGCTGCCGATGATCGGCAAGCTGAGGGTGTTGCCTCCAGTTCTTGAAGTGTAAAAGGCACATTATACTGTTCTTCTCTGAGAGAAGAAAAGTCCAAGGGTGCTAACTCTCTGGCAGACTTTGAGGAAAGAAATGAGGGGCATAGATGGAGTCCCTGAGAAATACGGACCAGATGATTGCCAATTTCATTGGCAACATCTAGTGGGTTTGCTATATCAACACTGGCAACCCGCAGAACAGGAGCCGGGTCAGGAGAATATTTACCACTCAGTTTTCGTACTTTTTTCCAGACTGCACTCATAGAGGAAGCAGAGGTGATGGTGGAGACAATCTCGCCAGCAAGTGCGTTTAGCGTCACGGATGACACGGCGAGCGATCGCACGCTTCTGCTTAAAATCAAGAAGTATCCCTGTGGTTCTATTGTACCAGTACCTGCCCCATGCAGCACGTTTCAAAAGTACTGCACGAGTACAAGCAGGAGACCACCAATGCACGCATTTCTGAGAATGCCTGCCCGAAGTTTGGGGTATACAATTAGAAGCTGCGGTTAAAACGGAGGACGAGAAGAGGTGTAAAAGCTCATCGATGGAGGACAAAGAAGGAACCTCTCTAAAAACAGTTAGGTGTGAGTAAAGGTTCCAATTTGCCTGATCAAATTGCCAGCGTGGGATGCGAAGAGGTGGTGAATATGAAGGGGAAGTAAGAATGATTGGGAAATGATCGCTGTCATGTAAGTCCGGGAGAAGAGACCAAGTGAAGTCTAATGCGGCGGAGGAAGAGCAGACTGAGAGATCGATGCAAGAGAGAGTGCGAGTCCGAGGATCAAAATGGGTGCGAGTACCTGCATTTAAAACATGGAGGGGGTGGGTGGCAAGAAAAGCCTCTAACTGAATGTCACGGGAATCACAGTGAGACCCCCCCCCACAGGAAATGGTGGGCATTAAAATCGCCAAGTAACAGAATCGGTGGCGGTAATGACGAAACAAGAAAGGCAATATCCGGAATAGATAATGCCCGAGAAGGAGAGAGATATAAAAAACAGAGCATATACCACCTATGCAAGTGGATACAGGCTGCTGTGTAATGCAGCGAAGTACGAACAAATAGCTGATGGTACGGAATATCAGTGCGTAGAAGAAGGGCACTTTCATTAAAGGTCCCATCAGGAAAAAGGATCTGAAGAATACAATAAATTATAGCCTGAGATGGGAGAGATAACAGCAGAGTGTAATTTTGGTTCCTGTAAGCAAACACCAACAGGGGAAAACTGGGAGAGTAACATCTGAAGCTCACCCCGATTACCCGAGGCCGCGTACATTCCACTGTAAATAGGCCATGATTGGCAATGATAAAGATACCTGAAATCCGCAGGTAAGGGTTCCTACGAACTAGAGGGGTTAGAAAAGTCTACATGCAGAGGCAGTGGAAAACGTTTAAGCAGCAAAGAAAGGAGTTGCGCAGATGGAGCAGAGAAGAGAGAAGGAATGGAGGGTGGATCAGTGTCCATTGATGGTTTGGTCTCTGCAATATATTCAGAGATTGCTTCAAGTGTTTCAGAATTCAGAGACGTCGTATGGGAGACAATATTGGAAATGGTAGGGGGAGGATGAGTAAAGATTGGAACTGTAATGGACTGTACCAAGGTAGGGGGGGGGGGGCAAAAGGGTGAAGGGAACTGGAGAAGCGTGGAAGGGGACAGAAGAGGCAGAAACCTGGGAGGGAACAGCGGAGGAAGGTACAGTATGAGGAGGAGGGTGAACCTCTACACTTGTAACAGAGCCAGTGAGAGGGGAAGAACCAGGTACAGAGACAGGGAAGGTAAAATGAGGAGGTGGAAGATGGGTAGGAGGTGTTAACGGATCTTTTTTTGACTTTTGAGAAGTAGAGGGACGATTAGGAGGATTATTATTATTATAATCAAGGGGGAAGCGCTAAACCCGGAAGATTATACAGCGCCTGGGGGGGGGGGATGTGGAAGGCATTCAGGCTTAATTCGGGGAACTGGAGCACAGATCCAATTCCCTAAATCAAGAGCCCCTCACCAACATCAAGGAACCTTCCTTGAGGGGACGATTAGGAGGAGGTGTCATACGAGATCTCGTCGCTACTGAGGCTTGTGAGGGAGAACACAAAGAAGCGAGATCAGACTGAGGCGTTGAAGTAGGGACGTCTGAGCCTAGGACAGCAAAAGAATTAGATACAGGAGTGACTATGGGAGAAGTAACCACAGAGGTGGTTGCAGAAGATGGGATCCCAGAAGTGGGGGGATGTTTTGAAACACGGGAATAAGAAACACGAGGTAGTCTCCCTCGGAGGTGGAGATGAGAAACTGCCATGGCATAAGGGAGACCTTCTGCCTCTTTGAGGTAACGGATTTCCCGCTCGCTTAAGTAGACTTGACAACGGCGAGAGTACGAAGGGTGAGCCTCATGACAATTAAGGTAAGAGGGAGGTCGATTGCAAGACATATTAGAATGGTCATCGGCACCACAGACCGGGCATTCGGTGATAGATCTGCAATATTTCGCTGGATGGCCAAATCGCCAGCAATTTCTACACTGTTGCGGTGTAGGGATCACCTTTCGAACTTGTAACCGATGTCCTGCTACATAAACTGAGGATGGGAGTTCACGGCTGTCAAAAGTTAAACGAGCCACATTGCTAGGGTATCATCTCCGCCCGCGGGCAGGAAGAACATAAGTGTCTACCTTGAGGATTGGGAGATCTTGGAGTTCAAGAATGTCAGTGCCACATGTCTGGAAATTTTGTTGAACTATGGTATGGGGGCAGAATGACAGTACCACTACAAGAATTGAGGGAATGATGTTTTTCAATAGTGACAGGAACAGTATCGATATGGGAAAGACGAGAAAGCTCATGAGCCTGGGTAGCATTCTGTACGGTGATTATGCGCGTACCACTCTTAAGAGCATGAAAAGAAATATCTTTACCAACATGGCGTAGGAGTGCCTTGCCAATACTGTGGTCAGAAAGATAGGCAGTAGAGGAAGTCGGTCGTAAAGTGAAGAATTTAGTCCATTGTGCAGTCCGAAACTGAGCGTGGAAAGGTAGTGAAGGAAGTGCCGATCTTCTCTGAGAAGAACGAGAAGGTGGAGAAGTATCATCAGCAGGTAATTGTCGTTGGCGTTTAGATGTGGGACCAGAGTTGATCTGACGTGGAACGGGCCGGCGATTCGAAAATTGCCGCACCGTAGAGGGAGAGGCCGGAAGCATAGTCAGAGGAGAGCGAAGGTCAGATAAATCGAAGGAGTCAGTCAAGGCGGGGTCAGAACGGGGTGCGGTATCAAGAAGGGGCCCAGGGGTAGCAGGTTCATGGACTAGGGGTGCCATGGTTAGGTTACTACTTTTTTTTGTTTTTAAGAAAAAAAAAAGAAAAGAAAATAAAGGGGGGACCGGGGAGGGATAGTTCCTAGGAGGAATGAAAGGGCCAGAAATCTCCCTCTGCGCCCAAGAGGACCTCAGCACCGCAAGTAGCGCAGATGTAGCATGGAACCCGTGCCATACCCTACCCATCATGCCCGTAAACCGGCAATCCGGGATAGCAACCTCACATCTGCCGATCTACCTCGGTGGACAAAAGAGAGGGCGGCCGGAAATCCGCCACAAAGCATACCTCCTTCGGCCACCACCCCCAGAATCCGAAAGGTGGCTTCCAGAGATACACCCTCCGGGATACCGGAGAGGGATCGGGACATCCCCAGGCAATCCAGATTCCACGGCAAACTACGCCACCACCAAGAACCTCAACGGAATGGGATGGACCCCGGTACCCTTTCCCCTACCTAGGAACTAGCGTGCCTGTGGGGGAAAAAAAAAAAAAAATCCCAAAGGCCAAAAAGGAAGGGCAAAAGGGAGGGGTGAGGAGGAAAGGAAAAAGGGGAGGATAGGATAGGGAATGGGGGATTGGGGGGTAATTAGGTTCGGTCTGAGGAAGGAGACCGACAGGTCTAATTCCTCAGACCAAGAGCCTCTTCACCATGCCAGAGAGCCCCCTTGAACAGGAAACCCTCTCATAAAGCAATGCTACATAATAGTTTTTGTGCAATGTGACTGAAAAAAGTGCAACCAGAAACTATGATACAGCACTGAGCTTTTCAAGAAGGATTATTTACACTGAAGATATTTTGTTGGTGTTACTTAACAGCAATATTAGCTTATTGTGGAGGGCTTCCATTCCCTTATGAAATTTGGGTAGTACACACTGCTCACTTACCGAGTGGAAATCTTGTTCACTAAACATTTTCCATACCTTCCTACTTAATATTTTTCACAAAAATTATGCATTATCTAATAATTGCACAATCCCTTGTCTTTTACAGTGATATGTCTACTGTTACTTTTTACAACTGCTGAGCATGTTTTTTTATAACTTGCCTTGCTTGTACAGTGGACCCCCGGTTAACGATATTTTTTCACTCCAGAAGTATGTTCAGGTGCCAGTACTGACAGAATTTGTTCCCATAAGAAATATTGTGAAGTATATTAGTCCATTTCAGGCCCCCAAACATACACGTACAAACGCACTTACATAAATACACTTACATAATTGGTCGCATTCGGAGGTGATCGTTATGCGGGGGTCCACTGTGTTCCAACAGCATATTAAGATTTATGAAGGTGGGAAGTACAATGCCTGCACTCTGAAGTAGGGGTAGGGATATTTGCAGTTTGGAGGAGCATCTGAACTGTAGTAACCACGTGCTCCTGACAAGACAGTGATGGAGAGCGCATTAGTGAAAGTGTTTCTTCTTTTTCGGGTCACCCTGCCAGTGGAGAGACAGCTGGTGTATTAAAAAAAAAATTACATGCCTCTTTAAACAAGAAAGGTGTGGAGGTAATATGTATCTTGGAAGTCTGTCAAGGTTTGGCCATGACACCAGCTGACCTACCTAACACATTGGCACATTCTAGATAATGTGATGTAGTATTTATTTGAATGTCTAATAAAATGAGATGATGTATAGGCAATTCTTCTGGCAGCTGCTGCCCCTATTCACTTATTACCAACATTTTTTTTTTTTAACACTGATTTAATGAGTGAGAGAGAGCCACTGTCTTGCCAGAAAAGCATCAGCATTACAGTTCAGATGACCCTCCAAACTACAACAGCCTCACCCCTCCTTCAGAGTGCAGGAGTCATAGTTTCCACCTCTAAGACTAGTCCGGTTAACTGGTTTCCCCCGAGTCCCTTTGTTACTTTGCTCATACTCCAACATGTAAAGTACCAAAAAAATCACTTGCCTAAACCCCTCTATAACATGCTCACACACAAACCTAGTGAATGCCTAAGCCCTAACACCTAAAACCCCTACATATCCTTCCCTCCATCTCAGAGTTGCCTTCCTAAAGGATGGGTACCAGGAGGCCAGTCCCAGAGCAGGCCTCCTGAAGTTATCCTCTTTTTCTCCATCCTCTCTAAATGTACAAACCACCTTAACCCCCCTGAATAATAATTTTGGTGACTCCAATACATATTCACACCACACAGTGCCCTCAAACATGACAACTCTGCCTCCAGCCTCCTTGCTGCAACATTCAGAACCTATTCTTCACACCCATACAAGTGTGTTGGTACTACATTCTCATTTATACCCCATTATGCCTCCATGGATAAAGTTTTGGCTCCACAGACATCCTCAATGAACCACAAACCTTTTTCCATCCATCTGTTCTGTGGTTCACCTCATTCATAGAATCAACGTAGCAGTAATAGTTGTGAGGTGGGATGAGCATTGATTTCCTTAATCCCCTGCTAACTGTAGCTTCACTTCAAGATGTGATGTAGCCGACTCCTTTCTCCTGCAGACAATTCAGATTTTTAATAAAACTAAAGCAAGAAAAGTGATCTAACACTGTTGCTGGGAGCAAAAACCAGACTCAGCAGCTCCCAAATGCAGCTTCCCACACCATATTACAATTCTACTGGCATTTTGCTTGATTATTGCTTTTTTTTGTTTTTTTAATGGATTAATTTAATTTGGTAAAGGTGTGACAAGTTCCTATTTGTTTGGACCATATTAATCCTTCCAGCATTTCAAATGCTTTAAGAATGACTAATGGTGTGAAAGAAGTTATATTTAGTAATTTTTATGTAGTACAGTAATTAAAATATATTTTATTGGGAGTATTGGAACATAACCCTATTATTTACTGACATTCTTCACTTAACCTGCCAGTTTTCAGGAACATAGCCTGCTTATTATGAGAGGATTTACTGTACCCAAGAAGAGCAATGAATATTGTTTGATGTTCAATAGTCTAGTTATTTTTATAATTGGAAGACTATCTTCAGTTTCATGAAGCAGTAGGTGCATTTACAGGATTATGTAAAATTTGTAGTAGTTATTGAATGATAATATTTCTATTTTTCATACAGCGTGACACTGTGAGATATTACAAGGACTGCCCTGATAGTGTCATCTTTACCGACATATTCCAGGATCGCTTTACTTACTGGGACAAATTAAAGGTAGAAACTGCTGAACATTGTTTTTGAAAGTAGCTTAATTTATTAAAATACCTCATCTAAGAAGCTTTCCTTACATTGGCAGCATTATTGCAGATATATTATTGCCTTTTTGAAAATGATTGTTTTTTAGCTATTTATACTCTGTGATGTTCAGAGAAAAGATAACTAAACACAAGATATTGTCTTGAATGGAAAAAGAGATTCAAATGACCGACTTATTGAATGATGCTGTACTTCAGTTAATGCAAATATTATCTGCCACTGACTTGTCATCTCACTGGCAGCTGCTTGCTTTGCGTGTACAGCACTCCTTACTATAATACTTGATGTTAGTTTGTCCTCTGTACTTATCTTTTTATTCCTGTTTTAGAATCTGTGAATTGTTAACAAAAATTTATTTTCATATGGAGCTGAATGTCCAATCATGTATCTATCCCAAGGATAACTGATTGATTTAATTCTCACCATCCTGAAATTATTTTAACAACTGCTGCAAAAGTATATAACAAAATTAGCATCTGCTAATATATTGTAGTGATGATTCTCACTTTTAGATATATTTTTTATATACAGGAGGGCCTGCTTACACAGCAGGTTTAGTTTCAGACTACTGCTGTAAAGCAAAAAAAAAAAAAAAAAAAAAAAAAAAAATCACTGTAAAGTGAAACAGCCTTTTTTCACTTTCAAATGCACATAAAAGCCTGATAACATGTTTATACTATCATATTAAATGAGCATTAGAGCTAGGCCTAAAAAAAGGCACAATACCAGGAAGGGTAGCTACCCATGGCTACCCTTCCCATTTCATAGACTCTGCCTTTTCACGTGCTACAAGGACTTTCTTCTCTCCCAAACTGTACTCCTGGGAACTCTCCTGTACTCTCCCTTCCCTACATTTCTGGTCTTCCTAATCTCAACAACCCTCTCCATTCCTTAAACATCAGACTTACACTTCACACTAATCTAGTTCATCTCTCCTCTCTCAACAGATGCTCCTGGTGTCTATTTATTTCTTGTTCCTCCTGTCCTCCTCAGTACTTTGGAGAAACTGGCCATTCTCTTTCTGACAGACTCAGAGAGCACAAAAGTAGTGTTAGGCTTGCCAACACCAACAATGCTCTTTTCTGTTAGCCACATTCTGTTAGACTGCCCTCTCTACCAACGAGCACACAGAATTTACCTCTGTCGTCTCCGCTCTACTACTCTCTCTTTACCTTCCCTTGCTGGACCCTCCTTTAATTGTGACTGTTTCACTGACTTCTTGACAACAACTGATTTGCTCCACAAACTCTGATGATACCTTTCGCACTCCCCTCAACCGTTTCTACCTCAATCTCTTGCTACCCTCTACCCCTGCATTATCCACTGCCCCGCTGTTCTCCATAACCTACTAATCATCCCTCTCCCTTTTGCCACCTGATACCCTCACTTCGTTCCTGCCCTGCAGCGCTGTATAGCCCTTGTGGTTTAGCGCTTCTTTTTTTTTTATTATTTTATTATCACACTGGCCGATTCCCACCAAGGCAGGGTGGCCTGAAAAAGAAAAACTTTCACCATCATTCACTCCATCACTGTCTTGCCAGAAGGGTGCTTTACACTACAGTTTTTAAACTGCAACATTAACACCCCTCCTTCAGAGTGCAGGCACTGTACTTCCCATCTCCAGGACTCGAGTCCGGCCTGCCGGTTTCCCTGAACCCCTTCATAAATGTTACTTTGCTCACACTCCAACAGCACGTCAAGTATTAAAAACCATTTGTCTCCATTCACTATCAAACACGCTCACGCACGCCTGCTGGAAGTCCAAGCCTCTCGCACACAAAACCTCCTTTACCCCCTCCCTCCAACCTTTCCTAGGCCGACCCCTACCCCGCCTTCCTTCCACTACAGACTGATACACTCTTGAAGTCATTCTGTTTCGCTCCATTCTCTCTACATGTCCGAACCACCTCAACAACCCTTCCTCAGCCCTCTGGACAACAGTTTTGGTAATCCCGCACCTCCTCCTACTTCCAAACTACGAATTCTCTGCATTATATTCACACCACACATTGCCCTCAGACATGACATCTCCACTGCCTCCAGCCTTCTCCTCGCTGCAACATTCATCACCCATGCTTCACACCCATATAAGAGTGTTGGTAAAACTATACTCTCATACATTCCCCTCTTTGCCTCCAAGGACAAAGTTCTTTGTCTCCACAGACTCCTAAGTGCACCACTCACCCTTTTTCCCCTCATCAATTCTATGATTCACCTCATCCTTCATAGACCCATCCGCTGACACGTCCACTCCCAAATATCTGAATACATTCACCTCCTCCATACTCTCTCCCTCCAATCTGATATCCAATCTTTCATCACCTAATATTTTGTTATCCTCATAACCTTACTCTTTCCTGTATTCACTTTTAATTTTCTTCTTTTGCACACCCTACCAAATTCATCCACCAATCTCTGCAACTTCTCTTCAGAATCTCCCAAGAGCACAGTGTCATCAGCAAAGAGCAACTGTGACAACTCCCACTTTATGTGTGATTCTTTATCTTTTAACTCCACGCCTTTTGTCAAGACCCTCGCATTTACTTCTCTTACAACCCCATCTATAAATATATTAAACAACCACGGTGACATCACACATCCTTGGCTAAGGCCTACTTTTACTGGGAAATAATTTCCCTCTTTCCTATCTACTCTAACTTGAGCCTCACTATCCTCGTAAAAACTCTTCACTGCTTTCAGTAACCTACCTCCTACACCATACACCTGCAACATCTGCCACATTGCCCCCCTATCCACCCTGTCATACGCCTTTTCCAAATCCATAAATGCCACAAAGACCTCTTTAGCCTTATCTAAATACTGCTCACTTATATGTTTCACTGTAAACACCTGGTCCACACACCCCCTACCTTTCCTAAAGCCTCCTTGTTCATCTGCTATCCTATTCTCAGTCTTACTCTTAATTCTTTCAATAATAACTCTACCATACACTTTACCAGGTATACTCAACAGACTTATCCCCCTATAATTTTTGCACTCTCTTTTGTCCCCTTTGCCTTTATACAAAGGAACTATGCATGCTCTCTGCCAATCCCTAGGTACCTTACCCTCTTCCATACATTTATTAAATAATTGCACCAACCACTCCAAAACTATATCCCCACCTGCTTTTAACATTTCTATCTTTATCCCATCAATCCCGGCTGCCTTACCCCCTTTCATTTTACCTACTGCCTCACGAACTTCCCCACACTCACAACTGGCTCTTCCTCACTCCTACAAGATGTTATTCCTCCTTGCCCTATACACGAAATCACAGCTTCCCTATCGTCATCAACATTTAACAATTCCTCAAAATATTCCCTCCATCTTCCCAATACCTCTAACTCTCCATTTAATAACTCTCCTCTCCTATTTTTAACTGACAAATCCATTTGTTCTCTAGGCTTCCTTAACTTGTTAATCTCACTCCAAAACTTTTTCTTATTTTCAACCAAATTTGTTGATAACATCTCACCCACTCTCTCATTTGCTCTCTTTTTACATTTCTTCACCACTCTCTTAACCTCTCTTTTTTCTCCATATACTCTTCCCTCCTTGCATCACTTCTACTTTGTAAAAACTTCTCATATGCTAACTTTTTCTCCCTTACTACTCTCTTTACATCATCATTCCACCAATCGCTCCTCTTCCCTCCCGCACCCACTTTCCTGTAACCACAAACTTCTGCTGAACACTCTAACACTACATTTTTAAACCTACCCCATACCTCTTCGACCCCATTGCCTATGCTCTCATTAGCCCATCTATCCTCCAATAGCTGTTTATATCTTTCCCTAACTGCCTCCTCTTTTAGTTTATAAACCTTCACCTCTCTCTTCCCTGATGCTTCTATTCTCCTTGTATCCCATCTACCTTTTACTCTCAGTGTAGCTACAACTAGAAAGTGATCTGATATATCTGTGGCCCCTCTATAAACATGTACATCCTGAAGTCTACTCAACAGTCTTTTATCTACCAATACATAATCCAACAAACTACTGTCATTTCGGCCTACATCATATCTTGTATACTTATTTATCCTCTTTTTCTTAAAATATGTATTACCTATAACTAAACCCCTTTCTATACAAAGTTCAATCAAAGGGCTCCCATTATCATTTACACCTGGCACCCCAAACTTACCTACCACACCCTCTCTAAAAGTTTCTCCTACTTTAGCATTCAGGTCCCCTACCACAATTACTCTCTCACTTGGTTCAAAGGTTCCTATACATTCACTTAACATCTCCCAAAATCTCTCTCTCTCCTCTGCATTCCTCTCTTCTCCAGGTGCATACACGCTTATTATGACCCACTTCTCGCATCCAACCTTTACTTTAATCCACATAATTCTTGCATTTATACATTCATATTCTCTTTTATCCTTCCATAACTGATCATTCGACATTACTGCTACCCCTTCCTTTGCTCTAACTCTCTTTTTGATTATTATAATAATAATTTTCTGTCATGTCAGAGATCACAGTCATCCTATTGACTGGTCTTCAGCTAAAACTGTCTACCCTACTTCTAACTTTCACAGTTTCCATCTGGTTGAATCCTCCCTTATAAACAACTTTCCTTGCATGAATTTTAGTCCTGGCTTTGTCTCTGTAGATGCCTTCCTTTCCCATTACATTGTAAAATGCTCCAAGCTTCAGAACACCTGTGACTTAACTTGATTCTTTTTTTCCCCCTTCTCCCCTTTCTGCTTTGATTTTTTTTTCTTCTGCCTTGGGTATTTGGCCTATTATCATTAATTTATTTATTCTTCCCCATTCTGTGTTCTTGTTCCTACTCTTTTGGGCCTCTAGCTCCCTTGTAGTGCTCCTCTTTCTTAGTACATGTACATGTATTTGACTGACTGCACTACTACTACTACCATTACCTCTCTTCCTTCTTTCCTACTGCCTCTCTTGTCCTGCCCCTGCCAGCTGGCCTATATATACTCCCTCCCTCCTCTCCTTTTTGTTAGTGTGACTTTGTAAATGGTCCAAGTCAGGCTGAAACGTTGTTGTAAGCTCCCCTCTCCTACGTGCGGGTTATTTGTGAAATGCATATACAGTACACACATTACTTACCTTAAAATATTTTTGTTCTTAGCTTATAGTGAGTGGTGAATATATTTTAACAAGTCAGACTAAATGAATAATGGGTTTGATTGAAAACCGCTGTATTAAACTGCACAGCAGGGCATTCCTGTACTGTTATTCAATCATGTACTGTTTTGTTGCAATGCAAGTTTATTTTATCAGGTTTGGTAGAGATTAGTCAAGACCTATAGATTTAATAAATTATGATTTCCTTAAGATTTAATTATAAACTTGCAATAATTTTTGTGTTTGTCTTTTACCAAGTGCATGTTTTGAGAATTCATGGTTTTTTTTTTTTTTTTTTTTTTTTGGTAGAGATTGGTTAAGAGCTGTAGACTAAATGCTTTCAATCTGCAGCAGCCACAATGTGACAAGAGGGTGCAAGTGTGAGAGAAAGGGAATCGGTCCAGCTGTACTGTGTTAATATGATGCAAGAGGGTGGGAGTGAACAGGACCATCAAAATGGGAGAGGGAAACAGTCCAGCTGGTGCTTGCCCCTAAACATCTGTACTGTAACTTGCATTGCAACAAACCAGCCGTATCCCACAGAGACCCTGCTGTCTTACGTACATACATTAATATTTAATACTATTTGTAAATACTCCTTGTTAAATATTAAATGAAATTTGATAAGGAATTATGGCTCAGGAAAGCACCTTCAATTATAACTTGGTATCGGCAGGAAAGTAGGTTTCAAGTAATGAACATTCAACTTTTTTTTGATCAATTTTCAGGAATGCATTGATTTCACAAGTTGGGCCCTACTGTATACAGTGTATTTGTACAAGTTAATCATAGCTTCTCATTTTTGTTTCAGACTGCTATCCGAATGTGTGTACCTAAGGACCATTATGCCCCACTGTTGGACTATCTTGCCAAGCTTTTAGAACTAAAAAATTATGTACCTGAGCCAATAGGACCTACCAGTAAACAAAAATCTACCCCAGCACCAAAGTCACAGATGTCAACAGAAAATGATCAAAAGGAAGCCACCATTTCTACCAACGTAACCAGCTCAGTAATTAAAAACAGAATGTCTTTAGAGACTGGAGGTGGCATTATAATTTCTGATATAAATATAGCCCTTGATGCACTAAAGACTTCTTCTCAACCTCCTGTCAAAGTTGCCCCAGAAAATTCATTGTCTGAATCTGTATCAGGGTTGGAAAGTCAACCCCAAGTCCAGTCCATGGAAGTTGCTGTGCCAGAAGCTGGGAAATCTCCACATCTTGAATCACAACAAAGTCAGTCTGATTCTAAACAGGTGCACTCACAGCAGGAAGAATACCAGCAACCTGGATACCAGCAGCGCAGTCCACCACCATATAAACAACCACAACAAGAACTTGTGTATCAAGAGCAGAAACAAGACTCTGAAGGCCAACAAGACTTCATCCAAGAGCAAGAGTATGACCGTCATCAACAACTACCCCAACAGCAGCAGCAATACCAACAACAAAAGCAATACCAGCAGCACATTGAGGAATATCAAGGACAGCAGAAATGTGAAGAGGAAATAATAGAAGAATATCGTGAACCTCCACCCAGTTATCACCAACAGCATTTTACAATACCAACAGGATACATGCACGAGGAACCAAAGGCAGCACACTTAATAGAAGACAGAGCACTGGGCCAAGAAACCCCACAGACAGAGGAGGAAAGCCAAACACCTCGTTACCATGAGAACCTTGCACTAGACCCTTGGGGGTTGCACAGACCAAGTGATCCACCTCATCAAAGTGAAGCTAGAGAGGTTGAAGTTATTCAGCCTATGACTCTGGATGACCAACCCTAATAGAACCTGATCAGTATAATCTTTTTGTATATGGCAGCTTTAGATGTTAAGCTTTTCAGTGTTTTGTTTACAAACTTTATGGATGATACCACAGGAAAATTCAATGTGAAAACAGGAATATCTCATCTCATGTCCATATCAAGCTTACCAAGAGGTCTGCATTTCATTTTTTATCTAAACTACTGTATATAAATTTTATTTTTTTTAGAGTAAATTATGAAAATATTTATTGTACTGTATAATAATAATAATAAGTGATGTGTAGACACATATATATATATATAATATATATATATATATATATATATATATATATATATATATATATATATATATATTTTAATATACAGTGGTCCCTCATTTTTCGTAATTAATCCGTTCCTGGAGGAGCTACTATAAAGGAAATTTACGATTTGCGAATCAATTTTCCCCATAAGAAATAATGTAAATACAATTAATCCGTTCCTGACACTCAGAAGTATTAAAACAAAAAAATTTTTTCATGAAATATACATGTAGTACATAAACAATACAATGGGAAATGATGAATGAAACATTAACAGCATAACACTTACCTTTATTGGAGATTCTTCTTAGTGTATGAGAGACTGGAGGAGGAGAGAGATTGGATTGTTTACAGTTTGGAAGGGGAATCCCCTTCCAGCAACACCTCAGGTACCAATTGCTTCTCTGGGGTTGCTTCTCTTCTCTGTTTCTTAATGCCACTAGGACCACCTTGAGAGTCACTCTAGTCCTGTCTCGCAAAGTAACTGTGGAGAGAGCTCTGTTTCTGGAGTCTCTTTAACACTTCCCTAAAATGGCCCAAGACTGTCACTGTACATATTTCTCACCTTCTTTACCACAGGCTTGGCACTAGGAGCTTTCTTTGGAGCCATGGTAGCTTATTTAGTACTTGCAAGCACTAAAATGAGTGGAATATTATGAAATATTTCGTAGGAGCACTCGAGGGGACCTTCACTCACTGGTAAACAATGCCAGACTGGCTGGGTAGGGAGGCTTCCCCGGCTTGCACCGTGCATACGCGTCCCGGACGAACTACTATTCGCGAGTCAACCTATGAAAAGCGAGTCCATGTTTATACGAAAATACCCCTATGATTGGCGAAATTTACGATTGCCGAGAACTACGAAAAGCGAGAGACCACTGTATATATATATATACACATATATATATATATTTGTGTGTATATGTAATTCCCTAGTTGTAGTTAAAGTAGTAGAGCTTATGCTCATGGTGTTTGATCTTATATTTTTATCATAATTCTTAAATAAACACAGCTGAAGAATAAGTTTATATGTAGTATCATATATCTCCTTTTTACTTTCATCAGTGGCATTTCCAGTACCCCTACTCTTGTTTTGCTCTCTAAGAATTGCGCCTTGTTATTAGATTACTAAATATAAACAGGCTGTATCAACAAACATGTTAAGATTGTTTTATCCATCGGAGCATGTAGACTTCATCTTGAACACCACCACCACCACCACTGACATGTTCACTAACTACCCTCATTTTATGCAGACAATACCAACTGAAGCTAACCTATTGCACCGAATATGACTTCCATTTTGCACCCACACAAGTCCTGGACTCTTCTCACCCATACCATGTAACTCTCCTGCCAATGCATTTTTTTTTTTTAATACCATTTTTTTTTTCAACACATCAGTAATCTCCCACCAAGGCAGGGTGACCCAAAAATAAAGAAAATCCCCAAAAAGAAAGTACTTTCATCATTATTCAACACTTTCACCTCATACATAATCACTGTCTTTGCAGAGGCATTCAGTTACGACAGTTTAGAAGTCCCTCCAAACTGCCAATATCCCAAACACCTCCTTTAAATTGCAGGCATTGTACTTCCCATTTCCAGGACTCAAGTCCAGCTAACTGGTTTCCCTAAATCCCTTCACAAAATATTACCCTGCTCTCACACCAACAGCTTGTCAGGTCCCAAAAACCATTCGTCTTCATTCACTCCTATCTAACATGCTCACACATGCTTGCTGGAAGTCCAAGCCCCTCACTCACAAAACCTCCTTTATCCACTCCCTCCAACCTTTTCGAAGACAACCCCTACCCCGCCTTCCTTCCCCTACAGATTTATACGCTCTCCAAGTCATTCTACTTTAATCCATTTTCTCTAAATGACCAAACCACCTCAACCCCTCTTCAGCCCTATGACTAATATTTGTAGAAACCACACCACCACCTAATTTCTACAGTCCGAATTCTCTGCATAATAGTACTTACACCACACATTGCCCTTAGACAGGACATCTCCCCTGCCTCCAGCCGCCTCCTCGCTGCAGCATTTACAACCTAAGCTTCACATCCATATAAGTGTTGGTACCACTATACTTCTGTACATTCCCTTCTTTGCCTCCTTGGATAACATTTTTTGTCTCCACAGATACACCAATGTGCCATTCACCCTTTTTTTCTTTATCATAAACCCATCCACTGACAAGTCAACTCCCAAATACATGTATCTGAAAACATTTACTTCTTCCATACTCCCTCTCTCCAATGTGATATCCAATTTTTCCTTATCTAAATCGTTTGATACCCTCATTACCTTACTCTTATCCATGTTCACTTTCAACTTTCTACCTTTACACATCCTCCCAAACTCATCCACTAACTTTTGCAACTTTTCTTTAGAATCTCCCATAAGCACAGTATCAGCAAAAAGTAACTGCGTCAACTCCCATTTTGTATTTGATTCCCCATAATTTAATCCCACCCCTCTCCCTAACACCCTAGCATTTACTTCTTTTACAACCCCATCTATAAATATATTAAACAACCATTGTGATATTACACATCCCTGTCTAAGACCTAATTTTACTGGGAAGTATTCTCCCTCTCTTCTACACACCCTAACCTGAACCTCACTATCCTCATAAAAACTCTTTACAGCATTTAGTAACTTACTACCTTTTCCATACGCTTGCAACGTCTGCCACATTGCTCCCCTATCCACTCTATCATATGCCTTATGTTAAATCCATAAATACAATGAAAACTTCCCTACCTTCATCTAGATATTATTCACATCTATGTGCTTAGGTCACACTACTCTTGCATGTACAAGCATATATATACACACCTCTCTTGGTTTTCTTCTATTTTCTTACTAGTTCTTGTTTATTTCCTATCTCACAGGGAAAGTGGAACAGAATTCTTTTTCCATAAGCCATGCATGTCGTAAGAGGCGACTAAAATGCCCGAAGCAAGTGGCTAGTAATCCCTTCTCCTGTATACATTACTAAAGTTAAAAAGAGAAACTTCTGTTTTTCTTTTTGGGCCACCCTGCCTCGGTGGGATACGGCCAGTTTGTTGAAAGAATCTATGCTTCAATGTAAACACTTGACCTACACATTCCCTACCCACTAAATCCTCCTTGCTCATCTGCAATCCTACTCGCTGTCTTGTCTCTAATTTTTTTAATACATATACTGTATAATAGTACTTTTTCCTCATAATTCATTTCTCAATTACTGAACACTTATTTTGTGCATTTTATTGTGGGTTGAGTGTGTTTTGTGATGATAATAATTTGGATTTTATGTATTCAGTACATTTTTTTTAAAAGTGCAGTTACCACGGCTGAATACAATTCAATTATAGTCTCAACTTATAAACAAAATATCCAGCATTTTCCTATCCATATACTATACTGCAATGGAAAGCAATTTCAATTGTTTTAGCTGATGTATACCTGGAGAGGATTTCAGGGGTCAATGCCCCCGAGGCCCGGTCTGAGACCAGGCCTCGTGGTGGATCAGAGTCTGATCAACCAGGCTGTTACTGCTGGCTGCACACAAACTGACATACGAACCAATGTTTTTAATTTTATTGCACAAAATTTGTATTTTCATCCATTTCCATTGTGTGCTATTCATCACAACAGATTACATCCAATTTTTACTACACAAACCATATTTAAATCCAACTAAGAAATTTAATTTTCTGAAATACCATTTTCTTACTATATAACTGTAAATAGAGAGATTTCTTGTTCCAATCCAAGACAGGAAATGACTATTAACCTCAGCAGCGTGTGTGAGATTATCTATTTATAATGTGCTGCATTTGAGTTTTACCGAGGTTAAGCTCCAGCTCCTGGTTTCCTTTTTAAACTTTCAACTGACCTGAAATAGCAGCTATGCCTATTTTGTAATACGACTTATTGTACATTCAAAAAAATAAGCCTTTGTGGGCTATTTAGTTCTAATATTGTATCCTATTTAAGACAAATCTACTTTCACTTTGTTTTCCTTCTAAGTTTCTTCATTTTAATTTCTAAACATTTATCATGAACAGTGATAATACTCTATTTATATATACTGTAATGCTAATTTCTTATTATTTTTAAAGTAAAGATAATTATACGCCTGAGTGTAATTTTTCTCCCTTGAGGACGAAGTTTATTACAAAAGTGATTTTTATGATTATATTCAAGGGCAAGCACTCAACCCCCAGGTGTGGCAACCACGGCTGTATGACTTATGGCTTTGTTACCAGTTCCCCTACTGCCATTAATCACTGAAACACAATTACACAGTTAGTGCTGTAGTCTAATTAGGCAGTTTTGGTAAGCCTAGCTCAGTCAGTCCTGGAGGAACCATCCTGGGATACTGAGTAGATTAAGAAGCAGTTTCCATGGCAGAAATGATCATGGTTCTGGGAAAGGAAGTGGTTTCTTTTCAATTATTCTTAAGAGTTGCCCCTTGTATGAAAAATAAGTTGCAATCTTGATCTCTTATCCCAAGTGACTGTGACCCCTTTCACTGACCCCAGCACAGTTTCAGAACCCAGACTCACTTCCAAGCAACAGCCTGTTAATTAAACCCAGTACCAGTTGTCTACCACTTTCTTGTATCTATGATCCTAACTGCAACCAGCTTCACCCATGATGCAATGACAGTTCACAAACCATGTGCCAAAGAGCAGAAAGGCTCAATCGATTACCAAACAACAATGCAAGAGGCTTGGCAGGTGATGCAAAATATTCAAATGAAAAATAGATGAAATGAACTGCCCCAGTAAGTGTAAAGTTACCAAGACTTAACATGTCAAACAAATTACCAACAGACTTTTTGTAATCTTCAAGAGGAAGCTTTTCAACTTGATCAGCCAGGCTGCTGTAGTTCTTGTTTTGGACTGCAAGTGGCCAGTAACAACAGTCTGATTGATGAGGCCATCAAGTGGGTCAGTGATCCCCCAGAACTTAGTCTACAAATAGACTACCAATGTCTAGATTTTAAAAAGGTCAAAAGGAGGCTCCCTGACAATGACACCTCCCTCACAATACTGTACATAGATATGCTTCTAAAATTCAAGCTGTGTAACCTTTATCATCACACGCTGTTATAGCAAGACTTCAGATAATGCAGTCCTGATATCCAGAAGCACCTGGAACTGTTATCTCCACACAAAGATTACTTGGAAGAAAAGGATTTTGCTCGGAGAGTTAGTAACTCAGGATAACCCAATGAGGCCACTGTCACCAGACTGTCTTAAATGTCACTGAGGTCCTTAATCCTCTCCCTAGGATGCGACGAGCACCAGCTGGCTAACACAAGTGAATATATGTTTGTATGTGTATATATGGATGCATGTGGCTTCTCTAAGAATGTAATGTAATGCATCTCAGCCCTATCTAATTTATCCTGGGATCAGCCTACATTTAGTGAGTGTTCCTTAGTTCAAGTGAAGTTTTTTCATGATGTTCAGGCTAGTGTTGGTAAGGCTAGCACCAGTATGTATTCTCAGGTGTATAATGACTCTGCATAGTTATATACTGGATGGTAATTTCTAAGTAGCTAATTGTAAATCAAAGCTCTGCTGGAAGGAAGCCTTTGAAGCTCCCGTAACTTAATGGAATATTTAACATCCTCGTTGCCCTATTAAAATCTAGCTCAGTCTGACAGATTTTAACACTATGTATGTAACCCATCTGGCATAATGGGATATGACAGGGAAACATGGCTAGCTTTTTTTCTCACTATTTAACTATCATATAGAATAGGGTAGCATTACATTGCTGTATCCAGGTTTACTAAATTAAAAAAAAAACAGGTACGTACTTACTGATATGTGAAGATGGACAGCTGGTTTAAGGAAACATGCCCAAAGTTTTCACTCACATTGGAAATCGAACTTCAGTCCCTCAGTGTGAGAACTGAGGCTGCTACCAATTAAGCCACTTACTGTTATCATACAAGTCCTGAAAGATACACAATTATCAGAAGGAATGAACTTTGATATCAAGTAAAGTAATGAAGTTAATATTAATGAGTATTATAAAAACCACAAGACAACCTATTACCCATAGGAACATACAGCTGAATGGCCAAAGAGGATTAACAGTTATTACTGTAACTTGTATACCCATAGCACATATGAAGTCTATAAGAGTACCCAAAGTTAACACAAGGGTTCCTGTTAGACTGAAATAGAGAACTGAAGGGGTGGCTAGTGGCTACGAGGCCTGGTCACAGACCGGGCCATGGGGATTTTAATTCCCAAAACCCTCTCCAGGTATACTTAATTGGTGGATGACTCAGCCAACCAAACTCAGAGGTTTGTTTGCACAATAGGTCCTGTACAGCCATAATAATTAATATGGACTTTATTTATTTATATATACATGTACATACATACATGATCAATTTCATAGTTCAGGAGACACTGACCCCCGACCCCCCACCCCCATCTCACAAGCTTATGACATGAGGTGCTATCAAAAATGTTCCGTACTTTAAATTTTCATGAGTCTCCTTGGTGAAATACACTGGCAGCGTAAAACACACTGCGCATTACATTCCTTTGTGAAGTAGTTTGGCAAGTTTCAATGCGGTCAGTCATTCTGTCGAGGTTAGAAGGAAAGGAATTTTTGTCCTATTGACAGAGTGTTGTTGCAATTTTTGTGTAACAGTGGAATCTCGAGTGGGAATCGTTCATCATGAATTTGTTCCAGTAGGGCAGACAGTTAACCAGAATTTTTACATCAAGATTCTGAGACGCTTGAGGGAAGATGTGAGACAGGAAAGTCTAGCATGGTGGGTGTCCAATGACTGGTTCATTCACTATGACAGTACCCTTGTTCACTCAGCACTGTTTAGTGTTTTCTGGCCAAAAAAATGGCAGTCATCCCCCACCCTCCCTACTCCCCAGATCTAACCCCTTATAACTTTTCTCTTCCCAAAACTAAAAATGGTACTCAAGAGATGGCATTACCTGGAGTTTACCTGGAGAGAGTTCCGGGGGTCAACGCCCCTGCGGCCCGGTCTGTGACCAGGCCTCCTGGTGGATCAAAGCCTGATCAACCAGGCTGTTGCTGCTGGCTGCACGCAAACCAACGTACGAGCCACAACCCGGCTGGTCAGGAACCGACTTTAGGTGCTTGTCCAGTGCCAGCTTGAAGACTGCCAGGGGTCTGTTGGTAATCCCCCTTATGTATGCTGGGAGGCAGTTGAACAGTCTCAGGCCCCTGACACTTATTGTATGGTCTCTTAACGTGCTAGTGACACCCCTGCTTTTCATTGGGGGGATGTTGCATCGTCTGCCAAGTCTTTTGCTTTCGTAGCGAGTGATTTTCGTGTGCAAGTTCGGTACTAGTCCCTCTAGGATTTTCCAGGTGTATATAATCATGTATCTCTCCCGCCTGCATTCCAGGGAATACAGGTTCAGGAACCTCAAGCGTTCCCAGTAATTGAGGTGTTTTATCTCCGTTATGCGCGCCGTGAAGGTTCTCTGTACATTTTCTAGGTCAGCAATTTCACCTGCCTTGAAAGGTGCTGTTAGTGTGCAGTAATATTCCAGCCTAGATAGAACAAGTGACCTGAAGAGTGTCATCATGAGCTTAGCATCCCTAGTTTTGAAGGTTCTCATTATCCATCCTGTCATTTTTCTAGCAGATGCGATTGATACAATGTTATGGTCCTTGAAGGTGAGATCCTCCGACATAATCACTCCCAGGTCTTTGACATTGGTGTTTCGCTCTATTTTGTGGCCAGAATTTGTTTTGTACTCTGATGATTTAATTTCCTCGTGTTTACCATATCTGAGTAATTGAAATTTCTCATCGTTGAACTTCATATTGTTTTCTGCAGCCCACATTGTAACAATACAGAGAATCAAACCATACCATGAGCAGGGATGGAGCCCAGGGCCAGAGAAACATAAAACTCCAGATCGACACATTTTGCCCGTGGTATGCTTTGTTTGCAATCACGTCATTACAATTTTGCGAGTCATGGGGACTCAATCAAAAATCATAAACTGCACTAGATGCTGTTAGGAAAGGAGAGCTCCAGAAATGTTTTGAGAAGTGGCGAAGGCACTGGGATCAGTGTATAGCCTCCCAAGGGACACAAATTAGGTTATCAGGTACGCCTATATATTTTTTCACTGCAGTTCGGGAACTTTTTTGATAGTACCTCACATAGTAGCTACATTTATGGCACACAGTAAGCAGCAGACTACCTTCCTTGGATTGGAAGACAGCCTGATATACTCAATTTACACGTTACTGTTCAATACAATTGTAAAAATCTAAACTTATTATTATTATTATTATTATTATCAAAAAGAAGCGCTAAGCCACAAGGGCTATACAGCTAAACTTACATAGAGCCTAAATATACTTACATTTTTTGCATTCAGGCTTTGCCCAGGAATATGATGTGTAGGTAAACTGAGGTTGGCGTTTCTAGCATCAGGAACACAAGAGACAAAGGGACGCCACTGATGTTCCTGGAGTTTACCTGTATATCCAAACTTTGGTCCTACCCTTAAGGGGGTACTGCATGTGATTCCAATTGTTACACCTTCCACAACCGTTTTCTTCTGTCACTATTCATCAACATAACTTGTCCAATAAATTGCAAACAGCCTTTTACACACTAATTCATGCTCACAGAGCCAACCCCTGATATTACTGTTATCTTAAAATAATTTTACTGAAACAATATTCGTTACGTGGAAAAAGTTATAGCATAAAGGCAGATAAACATCACAAGAGGGGTAGCTCTAATTCCTTGGATCAAAAGATTTTTACGATCAAACCACCCTTCACCCCTCCGTGCAGGCTGGCTACCAGTAGAGGGCAGTATGGCTGGGCAGTTGGGCAGCATGTACTGTGAGGGCAGAAAACTCCTGCGGGTTGGGTCTGCCAGAGAGGGCAAACACGTGAATGGCACCCACCAGTGTCTGACCCCACATTAGTTGATTCAGGAAAGCTGCCCCACCCACGGGCGTCATGTGGCACCAGCTAAGCCACACCTGAGCATACTGACGGCTGAGGGCGGCTGTCACCTTGCCCGCCCACTCCGCCCAACTGTCAGTAATCCTATCCAGTCTAAGTGTCAGACGATCCTTAGAATAGGAGAGTTGTGGGACATCGTCGGATGAGACAAAGCCCTGAAGGGTAAGGTACACTTCTAAGTCATCAAGGAGTTCCAAGTGAGGTAAGGCTCTGTTGAGGGCCACGAGTACCTCTAACGAGGAGATCCTCACTTTGAGCATCTCCAGGTACCGTATGGATGCTGTGGCATGGTAGAAGGGCCGGTGCCTCACACCAGGGAAGTCCTCCTCTGAGCTATCATTGTGGGCCTCCTCTTGGAAAAATTTAGTAGCGGCCTCAATGCCCAAGTGACAGGCTAAATATCGCAGCCTAACGCGAGCGAAAGCCTCCAGGAAAGGCAGGAGGAGGTAGTCAGAGGTGCAGGTGTCGTTGCTAGCCACATAATCTCCCTCCAACATAAGGATAAGGGAGCAAGAGGTTCTGGCGAGAGAGGCGGTGATAGAAGGCAGCGCTGGGAGGGACGTGGAGGGCTGGTCATCAGGGAGGCTAAGTGATATTGTAGAAGGTCTAGAACACTTGAGTAGGGCAGCCATGCCAGGTGTCACGCTGCCATCCTCCCCCAGCTGCCAATCTCTACGCCACTCGGCCACCACCTTACACTTACCCTGCGTCAATATTAATAAAGATAAATGTAGGCTAGTTCTGTGAATCTTTTTGAATGCATTTGTTCGGTGTAAAGCCTTTAGACTGCATGTGAATTATTAAGGCAGCGACTGAAACACATTAGGTTTTTGTCTAAATAGTTGGTTAATTGAGATTCAAGCTAAACAACTGCTCCAATGGTCATTAAGGCTGCATGCTACTTATTCACCACCCGTCAAGAATATTTTAATACCTAAAATAGGGATTAAAGTAATTATTATTATTATTATTATTATTATTATTATTATTATTATTATTATTATTATTTTAAAGGGGAAGCGCTAAACCCGTAGGATTATACAGCGCCTAGGGGTGGGGGGGATGGAAGGTATTCAGGCTTAATTCAGGGAACTAGCGCACAGATCTGGTTCCCTAGATCAAGAGCCCCTCACCAACATCAAGGAACCTCCCTGGGGGGGGATTAAAGTAAAACAGAATATACTATATATATTCTCCCCTGCAGCTGACAAGATATTTTTTATATTACACCCCAAAACGTGTTTAGGAAATTAACCTTAATTTAGACCTTTAATTATGTTATTAATGCAATGCTCTAGCATATCTCTGGGATAGGAGAATAAATGTTAAGTAATAATAATCTTTTATTTCTACATGTACACGGTATACAGGCCTAGATGACATTAATGGCATAATACTATACAGAAAGCCCCTAGTTATGCAGAGCATTTCAGGCAAATTAGATCCATTTTGTTCCCAGGATGCGACCCACACCAGTCGACTAATACCCAGGTATCTATTTTACTGCTAGGCGAACGTGGACAGTAGGTAATGTTTCCACCCGTACCGGGGATCAACCCCCGGACCTCGGTGTGTGAGCCGAGTGTGGTAGCTACGGGACACGTGTTTCATAAAGCAACATCACCCTCCACCCATCTTCACCGTCCCCAAAAACCTAGTAATTTCAATCTTATATCCTCTACCCCTGTACTATCCACTGCCCTGCCACACTTCATAACCTAATAATCATCCCTTTCCCTTTTACTACCCATTACCTCAACATTCTTCCCTGCCCTGCTGCGCTGTATAACCCTTGTGGTTTAGCGCTTCTTTCTGATTATAATAATTCAATCTTATATTTTCACATGTTTGCTTGGGTTGTGAATTTCATCTACATCGCCTTATTATTTTGAATATTAAACTACAAATGTTGGGCCTTTTGGAGGGTTTAGTTATAACTCTTAGGTCTCGTGAGGGAGGTTGGGTAAGGTTAGTTAGGAAACAGGTCACCATTGGAGATTTTGATCATCTGACAGAGGCCTTCCACTGGCTTACCGATCCACCCCTTTAAAAATTACGATTATAGCCATTAATTATTGTGAGGGTTTTGAAGTATAACTGTTACTGCTGGCTGCACGTTGGACTGCGTGCAGCCAGCAGTAACAGCCTGGTTGGTTAGGCTCTGATCCACCAGGAGGCCTGGTCACAGACCGGGCCGCGGGGGCGTTGACCCCCGGAACTCTCTCCAGGTAAACTGACCTGTTGCTGTACAATAAGAACATAACATGGCAATATAAACACAAATGCAGTATAATGTGATCCTTTATTGACTACGTTTCGCCCACACAGTGGGCTTTTTCAAGTCACAAACAGAACTACCTGGGGTGGAAGGAACGCGAGTATTTATAGTCTATAAATATAGTCTATAAATACTCGCGTTCCTTCCACCCCAGGTAGTTCTGTTTGTGACTTGAAAAAGCCCACTGTGTGGGCGAAACGTAGTCAATAAAGGATCACATTATACTGCATTTGTGTTTATATTGCCATTGTGTCGGTATTTTATACCATTTATTTCCAAGAACATAACATAAGAAAGGAGGATCACTGCAGCAGGCCTGTTGGCCCATACTAGGCAGGTCCTTTACAATCCTTCCCACTAACAAAATATTTAAAGTAAAAGGACACAAGTGCAACTAATGTGACATTTATTGTAGCAACGTTTCGCTCTCCAGGAGCTTTATCAAGCCATTACAAACAATACATGGACACAGAGGGTATATAAAGGCTCAGAGTGAGGTGAATACTAGTGAGGTACCATTTCGATGTTCACTAGTGGTAGTAGTAGTAGTAGTAGTAGTGGTAGTGACAAAAAGCAATTAATTCGTACATGAGTAAAAGGATATAAAAGCTATTACTTGGGTAACATAAAAATAGGTTGGACAAATATAAACTGGAATGAGGCAGGTTGTTTCAGTGTTCACTCTCTGTGCTTTGTGTAGTATAACAGGAGAGACTATGTGATGGCAGGGTTTACTGTTTTCAGGAGGATTCTTGCTAAGACTTCGGAGATGGTGAAGCTGCCGTAACCTCTCCATCCGTAACAAGAAACTAAGCAGTTTGGATGTGACTTCCCTCTTCACAAAAGTACCTACCAAAAAAGCCATCGAGGTTCTACGACGTAAAGTCAACCAGGACCTTAATCTTCCTTTACCTCCCGGAGATTTTGTTGACTTGATTGAACTCTGTGTTAACTTCAACTGTTTTTCCTTCAATAACAAGCTCTACAAACAAACCTACGGCATGGGAATGGGATCCCCAATAAGTGCCGTCCTAGCCAACTTATACATGGAACACCTAGAGTCTGAACACTTCGCCAACATCATCCCTTCAAGCGTCACTTGGTTACGTTACGTGGACGATGTCCTCGTAATAACTCCAAAACGTTTTGATGTACGGGATCTTCAGGCAAGGCTCAACGCAGTTGAACCAGCGATTCAGTTTACACTAGAAGAAGAGTCCAATGACAAGCTACCTTTCCTCGACGTCCTCATTCACAAAGTAGACAACAACCTAAGATTTCAAGTTTATCGGAAACCCACCAATAAAAATGATCTCACACACTTCTATTCCAGTCAAGATACCAAGACCAAAAGAGGCATCATCATCGGGTTTTTCCTAAGAGCATACCGAATTTGTAGTCCTGAGTTTCTTGACGAGGAATGTACTTACATTCACCAAACATTCACTGAGTTACAATTTCCTTCTTTTTTCATCAAAGACTGCAAGAAAAGAGCTCTTCAGATCATCAATTCTCCACGCATCAACACCGCTCCCAACAAAGTTATAATTCTTCCCAACAGCCAGGTTGCACTAAACGTCTCAAAAGTACTTTCACAAGCTAACACCAGAGTCGCCATCGCTTCTACCACTTCAATAAAGGATCTAACCAGGACAAAACCCAAGCACCACGAACCAGTCAATGCAGGAGTTTACACTATACCCTGTGGAGGCTGTGACAAGATCTACGTAGGTGAAACAGCAAGAAACCTCGACACCCGCCTCAATGAACACATATACGCATGTAGGAACGACAACTTAAACAACGCCTGTGTACAACACCGAAATTCCACCAATCATCTTATGAAATTCAGAGACGCCCAATTAGTGATAAAAGAAACTAATTTCCGCACACGCAAGTGCCTTGAATCAGCACTGATCGCTGTTTCGAATACAATTAAACAAAACAACGGCAGCTTCACCATCTCCGAAGTCTTAGCAAGAATCCTCCTGAAAACAGTAAACCCTGCCATCACATAGTCTCTCCTGTTATACTACACAAAGCACAGAGAGTGAACACTGAAACAACCTGCCTCATTCCAGTTTATATTTGTCCAACCTATTTTTATGTTACCCAAGTAATAGCTTTTATATCCTTTTACTCATGTACGAATTAATTGCTTTTTGTCACTACCACTACTACTACTACTACTACCACTAGTGAACATCGAAATGGTACCTCACTAGTATTCACCTCACTCTGAGCCTTTATATACCCTCTGTGTCCATGTATTGTTTGTAATGGCTTGATAAAGCTCCTGGAGAGCGAAACGTTGCTACAATAAATGTCACATTAGTTGCACTTGTGTCCTTTTACTTTACATATTGTCGGTAATTCTACCAACTTTATTACAACAAAATATTTGCCCAACCCAATTTTCAGTGCTACACAAGTCTCACTCAAATCCAACCCCTCTCACTCATGTATTTATCTAACCTAAATTTGAAACTACCCAACGTTTTAGCCTCAATAACCCTACTAGGTAGACTGTTCCACTCATCAACTACCTTATTTCCAAACCAATACTTTCCAATAAACACAGAGAACAAGGAGATTATAAAATACAGGAGATACCTCTAGTGAATCCTGACAGTGCTCACCTTCTCCAGCGTCTGGAGCACCGGCAGGAGACCAGGAAGGTTCCACGGGTGATCCTCCGTCAGGGTAATATGTGCTAACTCAGGTTGTGTGTGGAAGGCCAGACCTGCCACTGCTTCCCACACTCCTACCTGTCACAGTCAATTATTTCATATGTGCATTATTTTTTTATCATACTGTTTCCTACCATAGTAATGTGATATACATAGACATAAATTGTGAAGTAAGCATTTGTATTATTATTATTATTATTATTATTATTATTATTATTAATATTAATTTAAACACTAAACTCGAAAGGATCATATAGCACTTATAAGAGTTTAGGGACAACGTTTCTGTCTGATGATAAATTAGACACATGTGCACATTCATCTACAAAACGTTTCTGTCTGCATACAAGTTTAATGTTGTGCGAAACGTCATAAAAGAAACTTGTTTTGCAAAGTTGTTTTTGTCTTCTTGTTAGTTATGGGAAATTTTATCGTAACTACCGCCCACATTATTATTATTATAATCAAGGGGGAAGCGCTAAACCCGGAGGATTATACAGCGCCTGGGGGGGGGGGATGTGGAAGGCATTCAGGCTTAATTCGGGGAACTGGAGCACAGATCCAATTCCCTAAATCAAGAGCCCCTCACCAACATCAAGGAACCTTCCTTGAGGGGACTACCGCCCACAGGATGGACATGGGGCGTACAATAGATATTAAAATAATTAAAGTGACATTCACCATCACTCATTCAATACCTTTTAAAGTGACGGTTAAGGGTTCGTGATCTAGGGAACTGGAGCTGTCCTCCTGCTCCTTGGATCAAGCCTGGCTCCCATTACCCAGACGCTGTATGACCCACACGAATTTAGCGCTTTCCAGTTAATGTAATAGTAACTCATTTACTAGCCTAGTCAGAGGCTATATATACATGTACCTGTATTATGAGGAAGCCCTAAATCCACAGGGGCCATACAGCACCTGAGGACTGGAAGGTACTCGGGTTTGATATAAGGCAAATTATTGTAATCATAATTGACCATTAAACCCACAAGAGTCAAGAGCTTTTCACTCGACATAAAGGCACTCTCCTCCCCTGAAAGGAATTCTGACAAATGTACATAAAAACTGACCTTAAAATGCTGATCTTGTAGCCTCCATGACCCCAGCTTCAGCTTGGCCTTGGACAGTAAGCTTGGCTTTTCCTGTCAACACATTGATGGCAAAGGTCATCCATCTATCTTAAAGGTCATGTGTCTCAATGTAACTCAAAGGTCATCTATATACTCTACATCCTTGCGGGTTTAGCCCTTAGTTATATTAATATACTTTACATAATTATATCAAAACATTTAAGGAAAGATATCCAATTATTATTATTACGTTAAGGGAAGAGCTTATTAATACAGCGCCTCAAGGAATAATAAGTAGCCAGGTTTGATCCTAGGAAGGGGAGGGTAGCTCCACCTCCTTGGATGAAGAGTTCTTACCTGTACCATGGCCCACCATGTGATGAATGTTCTCACGTCCTGTACAACTTCCTTCATTTTAACTGCATGAAACAAGCTTTAAAAAACTATTTTACATATTATATATATATATAATATATATATATATATATATATATATATATATATATCGTGCCGAATGTGTAAAACTGGTCAATTAGCAAGAACTCATTTAAAATTAAGTCCTTTATAAAATTTTCTCTTATACGTTTAAATATATATTTTTTTCATTAATGTTAATGTAAAAAAATTTAATTTTGCACCAAAAGAATCTTAGAAAACTTACCTAACCTTATTATAACAAGAACAATTTATTTTAGCCTAACCCAACTAAATATATTTTAGATTTGTTTACAATAATTTAATACTAAACAAACACAGTGAAATATATTTTTTTCGTTAAGTTCAGAATGATTTTAGCGAAATTATTGCATACACAAATTTTCACTTGTCTTATATGGCAAGATGAGCGTTGCTATTTAAGCCAAGATCGCAAGTTCTGCCTATTCGGCACGACATATATATATAATATATATATATATATATATATATATATATATATATATATATATAATATATATATATATATATAATGAGAGAAAGAGAGCACAAACTTGGCACATCTACATCCAAAAAGTACATATTTCAGTTTTTTCACAGTATATGACAACACTGGACCATCAAAATAAAAAATAATATATTTTTAACAATAATAATAAAGTAAGTTGACTCACAGCAGCAGCTCTCACCACTTCACTTCGTTGTTGTTGTTAAAAAAGAAACGTTAAACCCGTATGAGTTATAAGGAGGTAACTGGTGTAGTTATGTATACGAGATATATATATAGACTGAGCTAGACTCTACTGAGGATATTGTATATTACATCCGTTCTTGTCTTGATAATATTATATCCTTCTATGATAACATTGTCTTATTTATTATATTAAATATAATTATGCCAAAAACTGCTATCTTAAAATATTTCTTTAAAATTCTGCATATCAAATAAATTTTAGTATTTTTTTTTTCATTTTTCTCAGTTTTTTTCACACTAATACGATTATGATAGTTTTATGTATTATGTTATTGTGATTACCTTCATAGTTACAAAGTAATTTTTCGTGGTTTTATATTTTCTTTGTTGGAACTTCGTGTTACAATTTAAAAAAATGGTTATAATTATAACTACAATTTTTATAGGGTTGGAGGGGTAAGCCAGGGGAAGGCGTCGGTCGGATGACCAAAAGTTGCAGTGGTGGGTTATCATATGACTAAGACCGGCGTCAGGAAACACTTGTTCAGTTTCCTGACAAACATTACTTAACCTAACGCTTACCATACGACCCACAACTTTTAACTTTTTGGGTTATCCTAGATAATTTACATTATGTATGATAATTGTACCTGTGCCTAAATAAACTTAATAACAGTCGATTACCTGGCGGGTACCTGTTTACCTGCTAATTAACATAGACTTGTATATCCATGCCTTGCCTTGCCCGGGGTCAAATCCGTACCCATCGCTTATATGCCCTCGCCTATGTGAATTTAGCTACGTGTCAATGGGTCATCTAAATGACTGTGACCCGTGACTTTGGTGATGGTCACAATAACCACTACCCACTATGTATGTATAAGTCGTTACGATTGTAATTATATATAAACATATAAATAGTTCATTATCATTTTAATTTGTTTAGTTATCAGAACTTTGTGGCCCAGTCCCTAGACCCAATGTGTGCGTCCGTAATGTTGAGGTACAGTCCCTAGACCCAATGTGTGCCTCCGTAATGTTGAGGTACAGTCCCTAGACCCAATGTGTGCGTCCGTAATGTTGAGGTACAGTCCCTAGAACCAATTGTTGTGCCTCCGTAATGTTGATGTCAACTGTCCGCCTAGTACCCAAAGAGTGCCTCCGAATGTTGAGTACAGTCCCTATTATTATTATTATAAATCCAAAATGAAGGCGCTATAGACCCACAAGGGCTAACAGCGCTCAGGGTAGGGAAGGAAGCAAGGGGAAATGGAAGTGTGCAGCAGGGAGGGGATGATCAGCATTGTTACATAAAACAGCGGGGCCAGGAGGGATAGTACGTGGGTGAGGTAGCAAGAATACAAGTCAGAACGGGCCAGCAAGTACCAGAATTTGTGAAGAGTACGGACGTCCCGTAGTCAAAAGTCAATGAGAGAGTCCTGATTGGAAAGTGGGTCCATCAGCGAAGAAGGAAGGTAAAGAAGAGCAGCGGGCAGAAGCACGACGACAGATTTAATTCTGCGTTGCTCGATGATAAGTGGGCATTCCACAGAATGTGGCTGACTGATAATCGGAGCCTTGGCAATTCTCGACAGAGTGAGGAGCACGACGCCTCTCCATGAGATATCCAAGATAAGACGATATGTGCCAATGCGAAGACGGGAGAGATAGTCCTCCCAACCTCGACACTGGTATAAAAGAGACGCCATAACCTATACTCGGTTAATAAATGAAGTTTGTTTTGCCTGAGATCTTAGACCAACGATGTATGCACAACAGGGTGTGAAGGTGGGAAGATATTACAGCAAAGTATAGTCCGTTACATGGAATCCCTCATATCAGAAACTGGTAGGTCATGGTACTTGCTGACCGCACAGCAAGTGTCTGCCTGTTCATTGCCCTGTACTCAACATGACCATACGGACCACACACAAAAAACAATATCTTTATGCTTAGTAAAGATGCGGCGTATCCAAAGTAGGATACGGAGACGAAGGGGTGAGGTGTAATCAAATTTACTGTATAGCCTGTAAAGCACTAAGGTAGTCTGGGAGAACAAACCAACAAATGATGAACACACGGCATAGATCATTACATGATAAGTGCTGTAAGGATCGGCATATAATCAGCAGTAAAAATACTAGCTGGAAGATAGAAATGCCCTTGAACGGACGCTGTCCGGAAAACACAGCTCGAATCCAAACGCCGTCAGAAGACTTAGAGCCATCTGTGTCCACATCAATGGCATGAGAATGAGAGTGAAAGGTGTCAAGAAAAAGAAGAGCGAAGCGACCGTAGACAGATGGGATTTTCGAGCAAGGGAGGGAGAAAGAACAACTCGAACAGCTGGAATTTTCTACCCAGGGGTAGGGAAAAGTGAGATTCTACATGTACATAGAAAAGTGGTAAGTTGAAGAAATAAGAAGAACAAGAGCGAATGAAGGCGATGAGAGAAGGTAGCGGGAGAAAGCATGGGCGGCGAGGTCAAGATAAATAATGTCTACTAATATCAGTGGACCATGTCAAAAAATGGAAGATTGCGGAGATCATGAGAGCGTACATAATAGCGCAGGCAATGGGCATCCCTGGGCGAAGCGGTAAATAGGATGGAACGTTCAGATGCGTGGACTGCATAGAGGCTTTTCGACGGGGAAGAGCGAAAAGCACCAGCATAAACGTAATCCCTTGTGAAGAGTGGGGTTACAGGCAAGAGTAAGAGTAGCATGGAGATGAGCCGCTGAATAGATCTGTTCACCATAATCAAGTTTTCGATAAAAAAAGGGTGGAATGTAGTGAAGGAGGGTTCGACGAACAGCTACCCCCACGAAAGATGAGCCAAAGGGTTTAAGAAGGTTCAGCCGGCTGTGACAAGTTGCCTTCAGAGAGGTAATGTGAGGTTCCAAGGATAATAACCTACAATCAAAGAGGAGCCAACAGAAACTTGAATGTATCACGTTAGCATGGGATAGCCGTGACCATAGAGGTACAAAGGATGATCAGAGTATGGACCAGAGCGTCTAGTGAAAGTATTTGAGGGTTTTATGTGCTGGAAAATTTAAACCCATGTGATTGGCCCAATTGGAACCACTGGTCACAGCAATGCAGGAGATAAACTGTAAGGAGGTGACAGTCAGGCGCCCGCACAGGCAATAGCGAAGTTCATCAACTATAGATTGTATGAACGCAAATATTTGAGGAAGACTGATAGGCCAAATCATTAATAGCAAGGAGAAAAAGGTTTGTGCTCAGAACAATCCCGCTGGGGGACACCTTCAGCTTGGACAAAGTCCGGGGAGGGAGCACATAATTAACCCGAACACGGAATGCCTGTCAGTTACAAAGTTTCATAAGGAAGGATTGTAGATTGCCTTCGAAGCCTAATGAGTGGACTTGGTCTAAAATATATATATACCTCCAAGTTGTGTCATATCCTTCTCCAAGGTCAATAATATGGCAAATAACTGAGTGTGTTATTCGCAAAGCAATTAGCGAACATACGTATCCCAAGCGCCAGTAAGGGGTCCTATGGTAGAACGTCCCTTACTAAAGCCATAATGACGAGTGGAGAGACCTGTTGTGTGTCCTCTAAATACCACACTAAACGTCTATTACAAGAGGGGGGGGGGTTTTTTTTGGGGGGGGGGGGGTGGGGGGGGGGGGGGGGGGGGGGGGGGGAGGGGGGGGGACGTTTCTGATTACTTTGCAAACTGCACTGTAAGAGCAATGGGACGAATAGTGGAGGTTTCCATGTCCCGTAGTGCCTGTTTGCGGAAAAGGGAATAACAATATGGGCGGCTTCCACAGCTGTGTGAAGAACTTCCTTGTGACCAAATAAGATTGTAAAGGCAAAAAGGACTGCAAGGGCTGACTGACATGAAGAATGTTGTAGCAAACGAATAGAATTTCGATCGGCCCAGCTGCCGATGATCGACAAGCTGAGAGAGGTGGCCGTCCAGTTTTCTTGAAGTGTAAAAAAGGCACATTATACATGTTCTTCTCCTGAGAGAAGAAAAAGTCCAAGGGTGCTATCTCTCTGCCAGACTTTGAGGAAAGAAATGAGGGGCAATAGAAGGAGTCCCGAGAAATACGGAACTCAGAGATTGCAATTCATTGGCATCATCTAGTGGGTATTGAGCTATATCAAACTACACGTGTCACCTCGCCGAACAGGAGCCGGGTCAGGAGAATATTTACTTACCACTCAGTTCTCGTACTTTTTTCCAGAACTGCACTCATAGAGGAACAGAGGTGAAGTGTAGACATAATCTCGCCAGCAGAGGCGTTTAGCGTCACGGATGACAAACGGCGAGCGATCGCACGCTTTCTGTTTTAAAACCAAGAGTCGCTCTGTGTTCTAGATTGTACCGTTACCTGCCCCATGCTGCGCGTTTCGAAACTTACTGCACAGCACAAGCAGGAGACCACAAGCACGCATTTCTGAGAATCCTGCCCCGGAAGTTTTGGGGTAACGAAATGAGAATCTGCGGTGAAAACGGAGGACGAGACAGAGTGTCAAAGCCATCGATGGAGGACGAAGACGGAACCTCTTTAAAAACAGTCAGGGTGTGAGTAAAGGTTCCATTTGCCCGATTAATTGCCAGCGTGGGGTGCGAAAGAGGTGGTCGAATATGAAGGGGAAGAAAGAATGATTGGGAAATGATCCACTGTCATGTAAGTTCCCGTGAGAACAGACCAAGTAAAGTCTAATGCTGCGGAGGAAGAGCAACTTGAGAGATCGATGCAAGAGAGAGTAATGAGTCCGAGGATCAAAATGGGTGTGAGTACCTGTATTTTAAAACATGGAGGGGGTGTGGCAAGAAAAAGCCTCTAACGAATTCCACGGGAATCAACAGTGAACCCACCCCGAGAGAAAAAGGTGGGCATTAAAATCACCAAGTAAACAGAATCGGGTGGCGGTAATTGACGAAACAATGAAGGCAAAATCCGGAATAAGAAAATTGCCGAGAATGAGAGAGATAAAAAGAACAGAGGAAAACAAAAAAAAATACCACCTTATGTAAGGAGTGGATACGGGCTGCTGTGGTCATGCAGCGAAGTAGTGCTGGTAAATAGTTGATTGTAAC